ATATAAGAGTTTAAGAAACAAACGGAGAAACAGCAGCACCCCATGCCTGCTGCTGCCGCTGCTCTTGTTGTTGCTGTTGTTGCTGCTGCTGCTCTTGTTGCAATTGCTGCTGCTCTTGTTGCAATTGCTGCTGCTCTTGTTGCTGCTGTTGCAGCTGCTGCAGTTGCTGCTGCTGATTGTATGGACTCTGTGTGTCTTCGTCACTTTCATCATCCTCTCCTACAATGATAGCACCTACAGGTGTATTTCCTGCAGGTGTTGTTGCTGCTGCTGCAGCTGCAGCAGCAGCAGCAGCAGCAGCAGCAGCAACACCTGCAGCAGCATCTGGTAGGTAGACATCTGTGGGTGTATCATCAAATGCTCCCCATACACTGTCACCAATTTTTTCGCTAGGATTGCTGCTGCTGCAGTTATTGCTGCTGCTGCTGCTGTTGCTGGTATTGGTGCTGCTGCTGCTGCTACTTTCTGCTGGCCCCACACCACCAATTGATCTGTTTCCTGTACACTCTGTACTATTACTACACGATGGATCACTATTACTATTACTGTTGCTGCTGCTGCTGCTGCTGCTGCTGCCTATACACTCTAAATCCTCTAGAGGGTCCCCTTCATAGAATAGATCCAAGTCCCCCTGATTAAGGGGCCTCTTCCCTCCATCATATCTACCCATCAATGTTGCTGCATTCTCTTGTCTTATAACATCAGAGGAACTAATACAACGGGGTCCCTTTCCTCCTGCCCCTCCTGCTGTTGGGCTATGGAGATGATGATGGGGCCCCCCCACTCCTCCATGATGCGTGGGGCCCCCTCCTCCACGATTAGGAGGGGCCCCTCCTCCATACCCTCCTGTAGGGGGTCTTATACCTATAGATAAGAAAGAATCCCTTAATGCTTCTTCCTCTGTTATACATTGACGAAGAGAAGGATCTGAATCCTCTGCAGCAAAAGGAGGGAGGGGAACCGATCCCGGGATCGGGGTCGATCCCAGGTAGAAGGCCATCGAGCTTAAAGGCCAATCATCTTCTGTGGGGTCAGCACATGGGATCGTATAACCCCGATCCCGATCCGGGATCACACTTCCGCCACTACTGCTGCTGCTACTGCTGCTGCTGCTGCTGCTGCTGCTGTTGCTGGTGGTCCCAGTAGCAGTACCAGCAGCAGAAGACGAAGAAGATGATTGTGATGGAGGTGAAGATAATGCATGCAAATATTGTTCAGCAAATATACGTTTATCTCTTTCTTCTGCTGTCTCCTCTCTATTAGATAAAGAAGAAGAACAAGAAGAAGAAGAAGGAGATAAACAACAAGAAGAGGAAGATGATGAAGAAGAAAGTGCATCTATTAATGATTTATATAATCTTCCTATGTCTCTTACCTCATAACTTTTATCATAAGAAGAAAGATCTAATAAATATCTTAATAATAAATCTATACGTATAAAATTCTCCTTACTTTGTTCCTTACTAGGATAAGGTATTAGACGTCCTTCTTCCTCTTCGTCGTCTTCTTCTTCCTCCTCTCCTTCTTCTTCCTCTCCTTCTTCTTCCTCTCCTTCTCCCTCTCCTCCCTGCTGATGTTGCTCTCCTCTTCTTCCTCTCCCTCTTCCTCCTCTTATTCTTTTTCCTCCTTGTTGTTGTATAATATTATATCTATGGAATGCCCATACACGAATAGCAAGAAGAAGAATTTGTAATTTAACTTCTTCTTCTTCATGAATAAAAGATTTAGTTAATCTTCTTAATACATCAGCAGCAACAAAAGATATTTTATAATGATATTTGCCAATTAGCCATATTAATGATGTTCTTCCTTTAGGGGAAGAAAGACGAGGAAGTTGGGTAGTTAAATGTAATATAAGTCTTATTAATGTATCTTTATTCTCTTCTTTATTATTCTCTTCTTTATTATTTGTATTTTCTTTATTATTATTATTATATTTCTGCTGTATTAATGTTCTTATACTTATTATTGCCTCTGTTGTTATACAAGAAGAAGATGAATCTAATAAAGATATAAATAAACGCATGCAATATATATATGCATATTTATGATGTAAAGATAACAAGGTTAATACACGAAAAGAATTTATTATTAATAATTCATCTCCTGCCCAGTGTATATACACCGCAAGTTCAGGTAACAAAAAAGATAAACAATTAGGGTTTGTAAACCCTAAACCCTGCAATATAAGTAATTTTTCTTGTCTTATTGATGATATATCTGATTGTTTTATATAAAATTCTTTTATATAATTAATAAATAAAGAAGGACATTTATTAATAAATGATCTTATTACTCTTAATATTACTTCTTTATATTCATAAGGACAGCTGTACATACACCTCAATAATGGCATTACTACACAGCCCCAACTAATTACAGGAAATAGACTTCTTATTGCTGCGCATGCAGACACAACTACTGCTGCACTGTCACTATACAGCAGCATCTCTAATGCATCACCATACTTAATTAAATCATCAGGTAAACCATCATACATTGTATTCTTCTCTTCTCTCCCTTTATTATTATTATTATTATTATAATTATTACTACCATTAAATAAATGGGGGGCCCCTATTTGGATAGGGGGGCCCCCTCCTCCATGTGGTCCTCCTGTATTCCCTACATTACGTGAGGCAAGGAAAGCAAGAGAAGAAAGTTTCTGTCCCCCAGTACTACTTGGGTTGCTGCTGCTGCTGCTGCTGCTGTAGCTGCTGTTGCTATTGCTAGTATGTAGATCATTAGATGATGGAGAAGCAGTAGTACTATCTCCTCCTTGATGTCCTGTTCCTGTTTGTGTATTTCTTTGTGTAGATTCAGGTGTATATACAGCTGGTTGTGGTTGACGAAAGAAGCAACGACAATATCTTGTTAATAAATCAATAGCAACAACTTGTGGCGCAAATTGAAGATGAGGAAGAGTTGCTACTAAACGATTATAATAAGGATGCAGTAAGGATAATGCCTCCTTCTGTGTACAAATACCACTGCTGCTGCTGCTGCTGCTGCTGCTGTTGCTGCTGGTGTTGTTGTTGTATGGGGATTGGTGGGGGGAACCGGAGTCATGTGGTGGTGTATCAATAGATGATCCATTGCTGCTGCAGCTAGACCCTTTTGCTCCTGCTGCTGTTGTTGCTGTTGTTGCTGTTGCTGCTGCTGCTGCACCACCAGCAGCAGCAGAAGAAGGTTCTTCTGCAATTAATGATTGAAAGAAGATAAGACGGAAAGAGATGAGTGCAGCACCAGAGACAGCAAGTTCCCCATCTCCTATTAGCTGCAGCAGCAATTGTATAATCTCTTCTTGTTGATCTGTATCAAGAAAGTATATTTTTGCTGCTGCATGCGCTGCAGTTTTTCTTACAAGAGGAGAAGTATCTGCTGCAGCACGTTTAAGACTCTGCAGCAGCAGCTGCACGATCTCCAGCAGCAGCAAAGAAGATAATGACTTAAGAGCAGCAGATCTAATTACATGTGCTGTATTATATAAATCTTTATGATAACAATTTATAGATAATAACGCTAAGTCCTGATTATCCTCTGCATGCTGTACTAAATATAAATATACTAACCTTTTTAATTCAAAGTCTTGTGTAGATAAATTCTTAATTACATCCGCAAAAAATAAAGAAGAAGAGGAAGAAGAGGAAGAAGAAGAAGGAGAGGAAGAAGATGATGTGCCTTGTCCTGCTGCTCCTGTTGCTGATACAGGAGCAACAGATGCAGCAGCAGCTGCTTCTGCTGCTATAGCACGACGTATACCTATTAATTTAGTCTCTGTATGCGGACTAGATAATTGTTGACGAATAGAAGATATTTGTATTTCTCCTTCATTAAAATAATTACTCTCATTAGCACTTACATATTTAATTAATGTCTTTATTCCTTCAGATGCTTTCTTCATTAATGGTGCTGCTGCTGCTGTTGTTGCATTCTTTACTCTATCTACTCTATCCATCTTTTTATTTATTCTCTTTTATGTCTTCTTTATTATATTCTATATCTATTTTGTATAAGGGGGGGATATATATATGTTTATTCATATTATACCTTTATATACCATCATCGCTATATATACTACTATATACCGCAGATATAAAGAAATAATATATATACCCATGTAGGGGGGGGGAATACAGGGGAAAATAAGTAAAATTAATCCTCTTATACAATAAATTTTGTTGTGTATATCCTTCTTATTGAATGCTCGCGGCCTGCATGTACTGCTGAGGATCTTCTTTCCTTATGCTGGATAACACGAAATACCCCTATAATCGCTGTGTATAAGCAAGAAAATACATTAAAATGAATTATATTTAATTCGTTTTTATTCTTTTATCGTAAAAGAAGAAAGAAAGACGCATTCAATATGCCGATCCTTCAGCTTTTTTGTCAGTAATCAGTCACTTCCCACCATACACAAATAGAGGAAAGCTGCGGTAAATGCGTCACCGCACGAATAAATCATAAAAATAATGAAAAGAATACAAATAGTTTTATAAAAAGAAAAGAAGATTCAATTATATGACGAAGAAAAAGAAGATGAACAAGAAGAATGCTTATTTATAAATAAATATAATAATAATAGTAGTAATAGTAGTGTGGAGCAACAGCTGCGCAGACACCTGAAGACCGACCTAGTGATCTGTCAGTAGCCAAGATAGAAAGCAGATATTTTTATGAATCAAAAGATAAAGAATTGCTTTTTTTATAAATAAAAATAAAAAAAAAAGAAAAACTATTCATAAATAACACATAAACGTCTTTATACAACAAGCACAGCCCCCCGCCGACCGCAGAGGCGACCAGGTATAAATATTCATTAATTCATATAAAAAGGAAAAGAAAGCAACAATATTTATTTATTTTCTTTTTATTTTTTATATTATTCATTTAAATATATATTTTATTTTATCTTTGTCAGTGCCCTTTTAGTCAAATAAAGCTAACAGCTACCTTCTTTTTATAATATTCCTTATAATAATCTGCTTCCCTAGTAACACATGTATAACGCTTCTCCTTAAGAAAGTTTAATGATTTTCTTTTTTAGTCTTTTCTTTAATATGTAAAAGTATAAGAGAGGGAAAAGGGCGAAAAAAAGGTCTTTTTGTCATTATCCATCTTAATAACTAACAGGTTAAGTAGTTATACTAGTAGACTGTTTAGCATAAGAGAGTACACAAGAAATGTGCTAAATAATTATAATACAATTATATTAATTATAATAAATAATATAATAATGCTCTTATAAAAGGGAGGAATATATTAAAAAGGTAATTTATTAATAAAATAAAAAAAAAGATGAACTTTCTCATATATATACGCCACCTTAATGGCTAACCAATAAACTCTACTACTATTTATATTATTTATTTATATTAAATATAAATTTAATTAAATAAAAATAAATTTAAATTCTTTTTATTTATTTTATTTTAATTATAAAGAAATATTTTTGGGGTTTTTGCATGCATCTTATTCAATCTACTAAGCCTGCATGCGCATATAAGACATCGTCCCTTATATATAGTATATATAGTATATATAAATATATATTTATATGTATTTATAAATACTATATATAAATATATTTATATATATAAATATATATAAATAAATACATATAAATGTACTAAATATGTATATAATAAGAAAAAAATTAAAAGAAGAAAAGACGACAAAATGTTTATAATAACAGAAAATGCATTTGTTGCTAAAGAGGAACTTTGCGACTAATTAATTATGCATGCTGCTGCTGCTGCTGCTTCTGCTGCTGCTGCTGCTTCTGCTGCTACGGCAGCGAAGCCAGCAGCAGCAGCAGCAGCAGCAGCAGCAGGATTTGCTGCTGCGCTGCAGCAGCAGCGCAGGTAACCAAAGAAGGCACTTATTAATTGTCTTCCTTTTATTTAAATTGTTTAAAACAATAACAAACCGCTGCTTTGCATGCATGCATGCATGCATGCATGGAGCTTGACTAAGCTGCATAAATACATGCATGCATGCATAAAAAAGCCCCAAAGAATATACCTGCGTATTTGCGTATTTTGGGGATTTTGTGCTGGATATATACATTCGTTTTTCCTCCCTTGTTCCCCTCTTTTTAGGGTTTAGGGTATAGGGTTTATCTTCTTTTTGCTGGTGGTAATTTATGAGTATTATTTCTTTTATTATTATTTTTTTTATCTTGTGTTTCTTGTTTTAATTTAATGGATAAATCAGAAGATTTAGTAAAAGAAGAACCAAAAAAAGACTCTAATCTTGTTTGTTTACATAAACCTTTTGCTCTTTTTATTCTTTGTATATAACTATCTACACGTGCCTCGCTAAATGTACGCTCCTATACAATAATATATTATATATATACACACACACACACACAAACCCTAAACCCTAAACCCTAAACCCTAAACCCTGAATACATCTTTATATAAGACACTCAGATGGGTATTATAAGACAAATATATAAACATATAAATATATGCACAAATAAAGAGAGACAAACAGAGAGAGAGAGGTAGAGAACCAGAATGAAACCCTAAACCCTAAACCCTAAACCCTAAACCCTAGATCCTAAACCGTAAACCCTATACGGTTAGCCATAAATGTATATACATATGATAGATGTATAGACATATATAAAAAGAGGTAAAAAAAAGCAAAATAAATAAAATAAATAAAATAAATAAAATAAATAAATAAATAAATAAATAAATAAATAAAAAAGGAACAGACCTGTACAAGAAATTGTTTAAGTCCTTGTTCATCAATTTCTCCCCATTTAAGATTATTTATATCATGAATAACAAGAGGAGATTTAAAATAATTTCTTGCCTTAATATAATTAAAATTATTAGGTATAATATATTTATTTATTTTATTTATATTATTATTATTATTATTATTATTATTATTATTATTATTATTTATATTATTAATTATTTCCTCTATATTCTTATATTGTATTAATAAATTATATGCAGTCTTAGGTCCTATTCCCTTTATTGTTGTACAATAATCACAACCACAAAGAATACATAAATCAATAAATTCATCCATTGTTAATTTTAATTCTTCTAGTACTTTATTCAGGTGTATAGACACCACAGAATTCTTATTGTTGCTGCTGCTGCTGCTGCTGCTGATGCTGCTGCTGCTGCTGCTGCTGTTATTGTTGTCGCTAAAGGCTAAGTTCCTTATTAGGATAGGAGTGCCAAAGGTAAGTGCATCTGCATCCTCTGTTGCTGCTGCCCATACCTTCCCTGTCTTAGCTAAATAAGCACATTGGGCCTCTGCCTCCCCTGGTGCCTGTATATAAGGAAGACCTAGCAGCAGCAGCAGCAGCAACAGCAACAGCAACAGAAGGAGAAATAGGAGATGAAGAAGGGTCGTGATTGTTCGGGTTAGGGGAAGGAAAAAGGGAGAGAAAAAGAAACATTTAGATTATATATAACAAGGATAAACCCTAAACCCTAAACCCTAAACCATAAAGAGGAAAGAAAC